CCTTGCCAAGGAGGGACCTAGTGATCCTAAACAGGGCCGCCGGGCGGCATTCTGCAGACGCAATAAGGGCGGAAAAGTATTGGCGCTTTGCCCCCCTTATTGCCATAATGTAGTCCTTAACAGCGGCTCTAACCTGTGTTCGGTCGGATTCAGTCTTTCTTTCTCCAGTAGCACTCTAGACCTCTCTTAACCCTCTTCAGCACCCTCAACTCCTCCGTAAACCACGGGGAGTGTCAGGGCCGATGTGGCAAGAGAGGTCACATAGGCGCGATCCTGTCCAAGGCCCCAGCCGCCTCCCTAAATTTGCAATTTTCTTTATTAAATTTATTGGATATGGCACTTTTACATAAGTTCTGAATACTTCTAAAGAATGTATTCTTTACATAAGTATCAAAAACAATACATTTAATAATCTACAAATAAAGTTGAATGTGCCAGCAATTTATAAGACAAGTCATATGGAAGAACAACAGGACATCTTGTTATTATATATATCATATTATTATATACATGTTTAGCTTAGTTAGTTTACAGGTGGAGTGATTATCTACGCCATAATTTGGTCAAAGGCCTTCCCCAAATGTAAAACTGGGCTGCTCTGAAAATGCATTCTAGCAGCCAAAGAGTTTATGGAAAATATTCAGCAGTCTGTTGAAGACAGCCCAATGTTTTAATTATTTTGCTAGACTCTTAAAATACATTCAGAGTTAGGAAAACAAACTGGAGTTTTATTTCATTCACGAACAAAGACCACTTACAGTATCCTGAAACGTGCTTCATTCTAAATACAGTTGAAGTATATTTGACAGGTAAAAGAAATGTTGGGAATTGTTCTAACAAAGGTATTAAAGGTCAGACATAATTATCAGGGATCAAAATTCCCTTCTCCAACTTCTAAGACATGATTATGCTTTTAAAAATCATTTCAGGCTGAATTAGCAGATGGCTGACATGATTTTCCAATTATGGATTTTTAAAAGCCAAATTAGCAATTACCAATTTCTTTGTATTTAATAGTTTCAAACAAGGCATTTTTATAGAAGCACTATAATTTGTATGGCACTGTTAAATGGAAATGCTGAAATTTTGCTGATTGAGCAATTTGTAAAAATAATTTTTATAATCCAGGCAATGGGCTTTATTGTTAATGTGTACATGTACACATGGGGTGTTCCCACAACAAGTGAAGCATGGCTTAGCATTAACCATGCACAAGAGACTTATCAATGGATCCTGCAACACCTTCCATGGGGAGAAGGAAAAATAGTGAAGTAGAACACTGCTGCAAAAGCAGTTCAGCCATGTGGCTGCTCCTGCAACCAGTCTCTATGCCTAACTGTACTTTACCCCATCGCTCAACTTCAAACATGTGGAGGCACACTGCAGCAAATACGTATGTCAAAAACTCAGACTGTAGCTTTGATGGAGGACCCCGGAAATCATGGTTCAGTTAATCACAAGTTATCATGTCAGAGGTTAATGAGTGACATATTCAAATATGGATTATGGAATTATGGGAACATATTACCAAATTATTTTAGTACTGTTAATTTCAATTGTATCAAGACACCTTAATTTCTTTACCAAGTGCTTTATCTAAAGAAAACAAGCAGTGCTAATCATTGTTTTAAACTACCAGCTTAAGAACTTTTTCATCTTATTTTTCACTCAAATATCAAATAAAATACTTGCCATTTACAACTCTTTTGCATTGAAGCATCTTTATGTCAATCAGCTCCTTAAAGAATAGGGCAAAAGTTACTAAAGCATTCAACCCAATAGAAAAAAACAGAAACAGCTTTAAAAAATGACATCCCCTCCCTCAGCAACAGATAACGTAAAAGATATCCATGCTGTTTTTTTAGCAACAGTGTCTAAGTGGCTTGTCATTGCTGCCTTCTGAGATATTTTCAGACTTCCCAGACTAGCTTTCAGCTCTGGAAATTCCCTTGTGATCTCCTTTCCAAGTACTAGTCAGTATTGGTCAGGTACTGCCACTTGCTGAGGCAGATCTAATTATATTAATATTGGAAGAGACTTCTACAATCAGTCCAAAACACTTGGTTCAAATATGGTTTCTAGCAATCTACTTGTGAACTCTACTCAGAGTATTTCTGTTAATTACTACTTTATTATGATTAGTGACCTGTACACTCTGTTAATTAAGACAGCAGTGGGGAATTGATCCAACAGTGGCCACAGAAACAGGCGGAAGGCAAATACACGTGACTCTGAAGCTGTCTCTCAGTTTCTTAATAGTGGCAAAACTATATTCCCTCAAGATCCTTGTGATGTGTTGTGTACAGAACCTTATATTTGGATCAAGTGTCTGAGTGGTAATATTCAGTATCAATCCTTCTGATCCTACTCTACTTTCACAGGCAAAGGGTTCTAAATGCAGAAATGGAGATGGAGGGAAGGTGAACAGCGCAAAAATGAAGTTTTCTCCTCTATATTATTGAAATCAGGAAAAAAAATCCATAGTAAAAATAAACACAGCTAACTAAACGTACTGATCTGTCACTTGATGTGGTAAGATTCAAATTCAAGTGTTGCCTCAGTAAATAAATACCTGTAATCTTTATCTCCTGAATCCAATCTGAAAGAGACAGAAATATCCTTTGTCCCCTACCTCACAATATACAATATCAGCACCATAATCCAAAGCCAGTAGTCTCATCGGCAGGGTCCCAACCCGCACCATTGGAGCCAATATTGCTTTATTTATGAAATTGAGGGATGTGCAGTTCACTGGCATTATGTCTTCTGAATCAGCTGAAACAAAGAAAACTAGAACAAAAACATATGTTCAAAAATTGAAGAGTGCCACTGAGTAGTAGTATAAACATTGTATAATTATTACAAAATTATTCTTTAAATAAATAGAGAAAACCACCTAGTGCACTTACAACAACAACTATCACAGTCAGATACAGCATCTAACCCTAGTTTAATTCATTTGTTGGTATATACAAAGGAACCTACTCTAACCAAGTAAGATTTGATTCTGGCAAAATAGCTGAAAACATACATAGAAGCTGAGCTGCAAATTTCAACCCGATTAATAATGGCTTGGTGTTACATCCATGTCCACTATCCTACCCTAATGCTTTTGGATTCTGCCCTCTCAACTGGGATGCTGAGATATAAGGCAAAGATTCTTAAAAAAAAACAAAAAAAACTCTCCCAGATCAAACTGTAATGAGATAAAAAAAGTTTCTAATTTTTTCATTCCATAGATCGCTTTATCTGTCTTGATCATGTACCCTATTTCCCCTCCTAAAAAGTTAGATGGGGGCCATATTCCCCTCTTCTCAAGAGTACCTCACCCACAGTGCTTTCATTCCCTCCTCGCTGGACTTGTAATTATTATTATATTTTTATCCTTTTTATATTTATATTTCCACCTTTTTATATATAATTTTTATATATATTTCCACCTTTTTATATATAACTCAAGGTAAGAAAGATACCTAATACTTCTGCCCCCTTTTCCCCACTACAACAACCCTGTGAGGTGGGTTGGGCTGAGAGAGAGGGACTGGCCAGAGTCACCCAGCCGGCTTTCATGCCTGAGGGAGGCCTAGAACTCACAGTCTCCTGGTTTCTTTGTACCTTCACCACTACACCAAACCTAGGTTTATTACTGTTTTCTACCAGTTTTATTACATGGCCACA